TGTGTGTGTGTGTGTGTGTGTATGTATGTATGTATTTCTATAATTGTAACTCGCAATTTTATAAATATAATTTTTATTGGTAAAATTATATGAGTGATTTTTTGCCTTGCAAGTTATATATGTATAACAAGTTGTAAAGATATAAAAAATAGAATCATACGCCATTGCTACATTGCAGCCATCGATGATTATCTCTCTCAGTTTATGTTTTCTATCAGAGTTTTCCTTTTCACTTTTCTTATTTTGATTCTTGCTGATGTATGTACTTGATTGCTTATATGTCTTTTGTCCTTTATGTAACAATTTCCGCCTCATTTCATGTGTATTTAATTTTTTAATTGGTAAATCTTTATGATAGCGCCACTTTTTCCGTTCCTTACGTACAGGACTCTTATCTATTTTTATGTAATCAAGATTTTTCAAGTCTGGTTTTACATCGATAGTAAAGGCGTTCTTTCCTGTCTGGCTATCTTTATATTCTTTAGACTCTTCCTTATTTATATTGGACCTACCCATACATGACCATACTTCCACAACATCATCCTCTGCTCGCAAGTTTGCTAAACAAAAAGAAAATTGTACTATTTTAAGCAGAAAGAAAGAATAGTATTCAATTAAATAAATCTATTTATAAACACTTTTAGAAAAAGAAAAGGAACAAATAGTTACCTATATTTTCTCCATTTATATCCTTTTCTTCTAACGAAGACTTTTGTATGGCTGAGGAAGTAGAAGGTGAATCATCATCTAGTAATATCACACTTGACCTCGTCCTTGGATTTGAAGTCTTCTTCAATTGTCTCGTTTGCTGTCCAAGCAAAGATTGTGATCGTAAAGATGTTCTACGTGTGTTTGGGCTAGATTCAATAATGCAAACTGAATTGTCTGCTGTGTCTTTTTCATTTAATTCGTTTTCACTGTCATTTATAATGATTACACTATTTCGTAGAGACTTTCTAGTGCATATCTTCTTTTTGCATGGTGATTTATATGTGGCATCTTTTTCTTTATTGTTTTCAACAGTATTTAATAGATCCGCAAATTCCTCTAAACTAATTTGTAACACATTAATTTTTAATACAAATCTCTAGGTACAAGTTTTATAGACACCCATTTACCTTTGCTTGAAACTGTTAAATACATTTTTGTTGGAGATGCTTGTGCTTGAGTCATGCTCTTCATTCTTGTAATTTTTTCTTTTTCTCTTCATCTTAAACTGATGATCACTTGCAGAATTATTGTTATTCATTTCTAATTTTCTTGTTATGCAGCCTAATGCTGATTTTGTTATTATATCATTATTATAATAAAATATGATGAGCAAATTAGAAAAAATCA